GTGACTGGTTTTATTTATTGAGCAGTTACTATGTGCTGGACAGTTTCTCTTTAGTCATCACAGTTCACTGAGGTTATTATTCTCACTTTACAAATGAGCAAATGGGCTCAAAGAAGTAAGGTGACCTGACTGAGGGCATTCAGTTACTAAGAGGCAGAATTCTTATTTTCAAGGCAATGTATCAAAGAGGTTAAGGACATAAATTCTCTATGGCTCAAAACTTTGCTCTGCCCCATAGTAGTATTAGGACAGTTGTGAATAAAGATGGTTCAGTAGAAGTAAACACTTATAAAACATCTTTTCATGGGCCCTATGATTAACCCAGGGGCCCCTCAACATCGCTTTTTTCCACTGTGCTCTGCCACCTTCATATTCAGCCAACCCATCATTGGGAACCTTTTCTTAACGCTCTACTCCTTTCTAGTCTCTTTCCTACATAATCATTTGTCACCTCATAACTAAGGACTAATTTAAAAGTTTCATATATGTGTGTGAGGTGGAGGGCTGGTGACAATTATAATGTAGATATATATCAAAAAATACATATGCCATGTATGCCAGTTAAAAAATATTGGCCAAGAGACAAGGTGGGGTCAATAACCAAGACCTCTTGAGAACTTCTTAGAGTGACTTTCCTAAGTTGGGTTTGTAATGGTACAATAAGAAATTCCATTCATTCATTCGTTCACTGGATTAGCCAAAAACATGTCTTCTTATGTGCCTACTGTGTGTCTGGCCCTGCGAACTTACGTATTACATTTTTATTTTTGGAGTGTTCTTCCAAGACTGGTAGACAAAGACAACTGATTTTTTGTGTAGTTACCTGATGGTACCTTGTCCTAGTAAACCTATCCTGAAACTTGCTGAGACAGATGCTCACCACATGTTCCACTGCAGTTAATTTGAATGAAGTGACATCGTACCTTTTTGGATCATTATGCCTTTTTCGACATCTACTGAAACTCGCTTATCTAGGCCCTGTGGAGCTAGTGCGGTTGTTTCTAGACGATTCTCAAACCTTATTTTAGCCTGAATCCTTCTTTTCTCCCAGCATCCTCAGACCAGCCTGGGTTCTCTCATGGCTTTTGCTTTCTTTTCACTGGTCTCCTTTCTGGAAGTGCCAAAGACCAAGAATTAGATCCCAGGAAAATGGAGGTGGAGCACCTGACCCAGGCATGGGGTCTCTGAATAATTAAGGTCAAAGGAGAGTTTATGAATTTCTGTTCAGGGTTTTAACTGTGTTAGAGACAGATGCTGTTGACAGGTAATTGTGCTGTGAACATTTGAAGTGATAGAGAAAAGCTCTTGATTTATAAAGAGGCTGCCTCGTAGAGTTGATTTTTGGTGCCGTTCTTTGGAGCATGGGATGTTTCGTCCCCTAGAAATGATGTTCAAGATGGTAGACAGAGAAAGGAAACAGGTATTTTATCGATCTGCAGTGGGTTCTGGGCACTCTGCTGGGAGCTTCACACCCACTAACTTATTTAATCCTCACATCTATCCTGCAAGGTAGTAGTTGTTGTTACTATTACTGTTGTCATCATCATTATTATTAACCTCAAATTCCAAGTAAGGGAACAGCATTAGGGAGTTAAATAAGTTGCCCAAGTTCACACAGCTGGTAAGAGGCAGTACTGGGATGAGAGTGGAGGGGAGGGTTGCCCACAGGAGGGAATCCCACCAGTGATGTGGAACCAACCTCTGTGCAGCGCCAAGCATCCTCCTGGGCGTGAGTCCTGGAAATGGGGTTGTATAGTACAGCTCCAAGAAAAAAGCGTGTTCCTTCTTTTTACCCTCAGACAAATGATTACCTACTGACTTTTCCTACTTTTCTTTCTGAATCCTGATAGTTGCCTTCCTAAAGACTGGAGAAATGAGTGAGTACTGTGCAGAGCAGAGATTAAGGACAGGTCTCCCACGTCAGATTGTCTGAGTTTAAATCCCAGCTCCTTCATTTATTGGCGGAGTGTATTCGGGCAGCTGAGACTTCAGTTACTTTGGACACGTTATCAGGAAAGACCAGTTGCTAGAAAAGGACATCCTGTTTGATAAAGTAGAGGGTCAGAGAAAATACGGAAACCCTCAGTGAGATGGATGGACACAGTAGCTTTACCAATGGACTCAGATATACCAAGGATCATGAAGATGGTGCAGGGAGGGCTGGACCACGTTTTGTTCTGTTATACATAAGGTTGCCGTGTATTAGAGCTGACTTGACAGCAACTAGCAATAACACTTGGGCAAGTTACCACCTAAGCTTTGGTTTCTGTAGTTGTAAAATGGAGACAATAATATGAGCTGCTTCATTCATTCATTCATTCAACAGCTTTTATTGAGTAGTGCTATGGGCTAGATAGACACTGTTCTCATTGTTGGGAGATAGAGCAGCAGTGGTGGTTCAGTGGGAGAATTCTCATCTTCCATGTGGGATACCCAGGTTTGATTTCCAGCCAATGTACTTCATGTGCAGCCACCACCCATGTGTCAGTGGAGGCATGCATGTTGTTATGATGCTGACCAGGTTTCAGTGGAGCTTCCAGATTTAGATGAACTAGGAAGAAAGGCCTGGCGATCTACCTCTGAAAATCAGCTGATGAAAACAATGGTTTGATACGCAATTGATGATGGCACAGATCTGGGCAGTATTTTGTTCCACTGTGCATGGGGTCACCATGATTCCATGGCAGCTATCTATCTCTCAGTGTAGTTTGTACGTGGATCCGTGAATTGCCCCCGGGTGGTTTTATACTTAATGTGTCTTAATGAGAAAAGTATTGGCTTTTAGTGTGCTGATTGGGATGATGCCAGAGAAAAAGAGAGACAAAAAAATTCATTTGTCTGAGCTGTTTCTTTTCTGAAGGAGCGGATGGCATCAATCTTCAGTGGCCCCTTAATTATTATTGCTGGGACTGAAGGCTCATTCTTGAAGGCTGCCAGTGACAACAACTTAATGTTGTCACAGGCAGGACAACAACTTAATGTTGTCACAGGCAGGACAACTTAATGGGAAGAAGGCTTCTGCTGTCCTCGCCAGAGCCAGACCAGTGGAGGCTCTTGAGTGGGAGCAGGCTTCTTTCTGTTTCCCCCATTGGACCAACAGCTGGGAAGCATCTTGTTCTGAATTCTGGCACGGACCAACAGCATTCCGGAAAAAGATTGCGCTTAAGAATTTGGGGGTAAATCAGGCCCTAGGCAGAGAGTGATGGCCTGCTATGGTCTCTGCTTTAAATACGAAACTCTGCAAAACCTTGCTAATTCCCTGTTCTAAGAGGCCCCCCTCTCCCCTGGGAGATTAGCGGTGACTCTAACTGTCTTAAACTGGACCAATTCCAAAGTGTTTTCTGGATGAGCAAGAGAAGAACTCAACCCAAGGCAAACAGACTTTATGTAGATGGCCTGCATTCTGCTGAAATGCTCTATTTTTAATAACTTTTAGTAACAAGCTAGTGGTTGCCTATAAGCTCCACAATCCTTGGGGACATTCCAGATGTGATGAGTGCTTGGGCTAATCACATCTATATATATATTCATATACATATAAAGGGGCCCTGGTGGCGCAATGGTTAAAGCCCTAGGCCGCAAACTGAAAGGTTGGCTGTTCGAACCTGCCCAGAGGCTCTGTAGGAGAAAAGACCTGGTGATCTGCTCCTGTAAAGATTACTCATTGCCTTTGAGTAGATTTGACTCATAATGACCCTATTGGACAGAGTAGAACTGCCTCATAGGGTTTTCAAGGCTGTAAATCTTTACGGGAGCAGAATGCCACATCTTTCTCCCATGGAGCAGCTTGTGGGTTCGAACCACCAACCTTTTGGTTAGCAGCCGAGTACTTAAGCACTCCGTCACCAGGACTCCTTCCTAGTAGACCTATAGGGCAGTTCTACTCTGTCATATAGGGTTGCTATGAGTCTGAATTAGCTGGATAGCACCTAACAACAACTACACACACACACACACACACACACACACAAACACACGCCACATATACATACATATCTATTTGTTTTGTTTGTTAGCTGCCATCGAGTCAATTCCGACCCATGGCAACCCCACGTATGCAGAGTAGAACTGCTCCGTAGGGTTTTCAAGGCTGCACCCTTTCAGAAGCAAATTGCCAGGTCTGCCTTCTGAGGTGCCTCTGGGTGGATTTGAGCTGCCAACCTTTTGGCTAGTAGTCGAGCGCTTAAGTGTTTGCGCCACTCAGAGACTCCTTTCTCTCTCTCTGTGTATATATGTATATATATACTTGTAGGAGTTGTCTTTGAGTCAGCTCTGATTCATGGTGCCCTTATGTATAACAGAATGAAACATTGCCCAGTCCCATGCCATCCTCACAGTCGTTGGTATGTTTGAATCTATTGTTGTGGTATTGTGTCACTCCATCTCATGGAGGACTTCTCTTGTTTTTGTTGACCCTCCACTTTACCAGGAGCCTCCACTTTACCAAACGTGATGTCCTTTTCTAAGAACTGGTCTTTGCTGACGATTTGTCCAAAGTAAGCAAGGGATAATCACATAGAGCTACCACTCACTTAAATGCCTTTCTAAATAAATTCTTTTTTTGTTAAACACAAACAAACAAAAAATTACCCTCCTTAACCTGGTTGTAATAGTGTGGTTTCCGTTTGTAAAAATGGACTCTTAAAAGAACAAAGAGAGAAAGCAAAGTTGAATGTAGATTTTATTAAATGCAAACTCTTTTTGTTAAAAAATGTCACATTGTGTTCCCTAGTACATTTATTAAATCTCCCCAAATATGTCCTTGAGAATTAATTTTCATTCAGTTTGCATTAAAACTCACTATTGAATTGGAATTCAGTCCTCATTCAAGGCAATTCATTTGAAGGGTGATCACATAGCCCCCCTCCCCTTCTAGAATACCCCCCTACACAGGCTAAGAAACAAGCTCACCATGACCAGGTCTTTCTTTCTGTTTTCTTGTCCTCTTTGAAGTATTTTTCATCTCTTGCCTGTTAAATAAATGTTCTGTCTCTTTGCAGGATAGTGACAACCTCTGGTGGGACGCATTTGCCACTGAGTTTTTTGAAGATGATGCCACATTAACCCTTTCATTTTGTTTGGAAGACGGACCAAAGCGATACAGTAAGAGAGAAGTTTATTTTTCTAATATTCCCTCTTTCTGCACCGAGCAGAGAACCACAGGGGTCTTATGAGAATTTCTCAGTGCTGACAGGCTGACAATACTACTTCACTCTTGACAGTGCTCTCGCTTCCCATCACGGCATTGTCAACGGGTGGCAGCCAAAGTCTGCTCTGAGAGATTTCCTTCGAGGCTTAGACTGTTGGACACTTGCCTGTTTACAGAGTGAGAGAAATATGAACCAAGTTGCCCAATGATAAGTAGGATCAGAATTGCATAAGGTGTCTATCCATCCCTTGCCTGTGACCCTCCTTTCTCCTTGACGCCACACACTTTACACCCAGTGTTCTGCATCTGAAGGCTCCTTTAAAAAATACTCCTTACAGTCACTGTGTCAGTCACATCCTTCTAATTCCCTTTTATCAATTATTTCAGATATTTATTTGACAAGTGCTATCTTTGCTTAGGGAGGGGGGTGTCCACAATTGCTCTGAACATACAGTTTTGGATTAGTGTTGACAGAATTATAGTTTCTTGTCTTTCAGGCAAATGATAACTCTGTAAAGATCCTCCAATTACAGCCTGTGGCACCTTGGGTAACAGCTGATCTGTCCTGATTAGGTTCAGCCACCTTGTCAGAGATCAGATTTGCTAGTTGTACTATCAACTCAAGAGGCAGAGATACATCAGCACAAAAGCAATTAATGTCCAGTTAGATCAGAGAGAGATGTGCTTTCAGAAATCACTGTTGCATGTATGAAAGGAACTGTCAGAGGGTAAAACAGCCCAACTGTCACACACACAGAGATGAAGCCTGTACCAGCCACGGGATGAATGAGTCAATCTAGACGTTTGGCAATTGATAGCAAGACTCTTGATGAACACGATTAACAGACCTGATTGTGGCTACATCTATTTCAAAGGCACCAGGGTACAAGTTGTTTTTTGTTTGTCTGGTTTTGATTTTGGAAAACTTAGACAACTTAGTATTATTTGGATCTATTGCATGATTTTAGGTGGTTAATTATGCTAATATATGCATATGGTGATCTTGCAATAGTGGCAAGCGGAAGAGAGCAGGACAATGTGGACTTGTTCTCCAGCTGAAATTCATCACCAACAACATCTCTTTAAACCAAAACCTGCTGCGGTTGAGTCGATTCATACTCATAATGACCCTATAGGACAGGGTAGAACTGCCCCCTAGGGTTTCCAAAGCTGTAAATCTTCACAGAAGCAGACTGCCACATCTTTCTCTTGCAGAGTGGCTGGTGAGTTTGAACCACCGACCTTTTGGTTAGCAGCTGAGTGCTTTAATCACTGTGCCACCAGGGCTTCTTATAACATCTCTTTAGATTTTTGTATTGTGGACGTTTAAGGCGTTGGGAACATTTTTCAGGTCCCTGGATGGTGCAAATTGTTTGTGCTCAACTACTAACCTAAAGGTTGGTGGTTCAAATCCACCCAAAGACACCATGGAAGAAAGGCCTGGTGATCTGTTTTGGTAAAGATTACAGCCAAGTAAACCTATGGAGCAGTTCTACTCTAATAATGGGATCACACTGAGTTGGAATCAACTCGACAGCAATGGGTTTGGTTATTGGTTTGGGGAGCATTTTTAATAAATATTTTGGGTGAGAGTGGCAGCTCCTATGCCAGATAACAGGCTATTTTGGAGTGTCTTTATGTTCAGCATAACGACTCTGTTGCAAGCACTGGTAAGCCCACATCATGGGTGTCCAGTTGAGTGAACTTGCCCTCCTTTGCATGGGCTCCCATCTGCAACCTCGTGTCCCAGAAGGGAGGAGAGATGGGCTCAAACGCCACTGTTCTAGAAGCCCCTGGGAGATAAATGAAGTCAGCAGTCCAACAATTACTCCTTCCCCAAAAGGCTGCTTGATCAATGGTGAACGATTTCGAACCAAGCAGCCATCCGTCCTCCAAGCCTTTCTATTTTTTCCTGAGGCATAGGCTCAGATAACTTCAAGTTATCATTGTTTTATACGCCTACACTTTGTTGGTTTGAGAATCCATCAGGGGCTGCTCAGGATACGAGAATTAGTTTTAAGCCTATGTTAATAAAAGAGATTCTCCCTCTTCCCTCGGTCCACCCTGCATCCCAACATCATTTGGGGGTAAGGCATGATTGGCGCCTGTTTGAGATCATCTATCCTAATGATTAGCCATTGTTGCCCGGGGTTTCTTTGTTTCTCAGAGCCAAAATATTTCCCGAGCAGAGAAGAGAAACAAAGATGATTGACAGCACTGAGCCGAGTCTCATCAGCTGCCTGGCTGACAGCCTGGCGATGCGCACATGCTGCTGATGTGCGGGCGGGTGACAGCTGATTGACAGCGCAGGGCTAGGAGACTGGGAAGATGAAGCAGGCTTACAACGCCTGACGCGCTGTTTATGCAGCACTTCGAGCACAGGCGCTGCCACATTAACCCATTCGCGGTCTGGGTGCTGTGTGCCAAGCTGGGGAGATGTCAAGCAGCCCCTGGGCTGCAAGATGTAGCTTTTGCTTGATACCTTCCTGAGAGCTGCGAGCTGTGTATGTCAGAGGAGGAAAATAAGAATTGGTGATTACATTTGTATTTGTAAAAAATTTTCCGCTAATTACATCCATGCTAGGAAATAAATATCCCACGTGAGGTTTCTTCAGTCCTTATTAGGGGGAAAAAAAAATTCTTGTTCCCTTTCTCCATCTCTGTGTTTTTAGAATGTCTGTCTGGTTCCAAGATAGCGTGTCTCTAAGCTACTGTGAACCCTGTAATATTATGTGTGTTTGCTTATTTACCAGCTGTCTGGCTCCCCCATTAGAATGTTAACTCCATGTGAACAGGGGCTTAGTTTTGTTTACTGCTGAATTCCCAGATTAACACAGTAACTAGCACGTAATAGGTGCTTGATAAATATTTGCTGGATGGATGGATGGATGGATGGATGGATGGATGGATGGATGGGTGGGTGAATGGGTGGATGGGTGGATGGGTAGATGACTAGATGGACATTTGGGGAAAATCTTATATCACCAAGAAGAATGTTGACAAATGAATCCCTTTACCGGGATCTTTGGACTTTTTTAAACTGGAGGAACTTGCTCCACATTCCTCCCATGCAAGCCCAGCATGTGGACATAGTGCTTTGCTGGAGTTTTCAGATAAGCTCTAGGGTGTGCTCTGATCTGCTTTCAGAGGAAATAAATCCTAGCAGTATAATAACACAGGAAGTAATGATGCTTTGGGAGGTACACTGGTCCTCCACTGTGTTGATAGTGTCGCTCTACCCATCCCAGCCCCCAAGCTCTTCACTCTCCTGATGGGGGAGGGACTCCCAGGTGGGATATGACTGGGGAGGTAGAGAAACTGTTGGGTCAGATGAGGACTCCTGCAGTCTTCCTAGAACACTGGGGGTATGGTTAGTATGGAGAGGTACTGGGATGGACAAGGTGACTGGACTGCGTTAGAAATTGAGCTGGCATCCCTTGGGCCACTTGCCTGGCCCTGCCTTGGAGAGCATCAGAAATGTGTTTCTCCAGCAGATAAGTAGGCAGTTCCAGGAAAGCAGTAATCTCCTTGGATTAGGTGGCATCTCTGGAGAGGAAGAGCCTGAGAAGTGGGCGATCCCTCTTTGTCAGGAAGTCAGTAGAATAAAGACCATTGGAGCTGGACAGGTCTTTTCTGAAAATGGGAACTTAGTCCAGAGAGGTTAGGCAGACCCCCCAGCTAGTGAGTCACTGAGCCTTAAACTCTGCTGACTCCGAAGTAGTGTACCCCCTTGCCATGTCCTACCCCTACTTCGTCCTGTAGCTAAGGGGAAAGAAATGGTTTTGTCAATTCCTTTATTTTCAGTAATGTAAGTAAGAGTCACAAAGAAGTACTGTGCTTTTATTTGACACAAGAAGGCAAGGGAAGCAGGGGACATGGTCCTCAAAGTTCTCTGCGCACCTGCTTTGCAATTCTAAGACCAGTGTATGATGTGTTGTTATTTCCCTTCCCTGTCTTATATAGGGGGGACCATTCTTAGGTTGCAGCCCAATGGTGGTTCAGTGGTTGAATTCTCACGTTCCATGTGGGAGGCCCAGGTTCTATTCCCAGCCAATACACTTAATGTGCAGCCAGCACCCATCTGAAAGTGGAGGCTTACATGTTGCTATGATGTCGAGAAAGTTTCAGCATAGCTTCCAGACTAAGATGGACTAGGAAGAAAGGCCTGGTGATCTACTTCTGAAAATCAGCTTCAGTGAAACCCCTGTGGATCACAAAGGTACACTCTGCAATCAGTCATGGGGATGGTGCAGGACTGGGCAGTGTTTGATTCCGTTGTGTATGAGTTACCATGAGTCGGGGGCTGACTCAACAGCAGCGAATAACAGCAATTCTTAGGTTAGGATGATCATTCACTGTTAGTTTCAAACAAAGTACTGATTTCCTCTGCTCCTTTTTGGGCATGTAGCAGAACTGTGCCCCACACTATTTCCTACTCTCCTGACCATAACACCCATCATTTAGGTAACAAGCTACTTGTAAAATCCTCAAGAGACCTAGACTGTGTTGAGATCCACATTGGCCACATTTTTTATCTATAGGAAATATGTGGCTCCCAATTCATTCAGGAAATATTTTCTTTCTGGGAGAGATCAGGAGAAAGATCTCTTGAGGCCCATACCCGGTACATGTTGCAGAAGCTGGGAGGTAGAGTAGAAAAGAGCATTAGAGTTCCACGTGGACATTCCTGAGTTTTAATTTGTTATTTACTTAGTAACCCAAACCTCCATTTTCTCGTCTGTAAAATGAGTAAAATATTGCCATCACTGGCTTGTGGTGGAAATTAAATGAGATAATATAATCAAAGAGCCTAGGACTACTTGAAGCATATAATAGGCTGTATTAATCACTATTCATGCTATGCACAGCCTGTGCCTCATGATAGCTTCTGTGCATTGTAGAAGCTTGCATCTGGCAGGGACTTACCAAGTGTATTCAAAGTGCAAATCTGTGT